ACTTCTAACAGACAAAGAGCTAAAGAGAAACCAATTGTCAAAAACAATGAGCTCCAGCGTATGTTTTGTGCTCTTGAAGTTTTGATCTTTAATGTTAATTTCATGCTTTTCTTGTTCCCAATGAACTCCGCTGTCACTCACCTCCCTATTCCAGCCCACTCGTCAAACCTTGTCATTAGCATTTGACCTACACGTGCGTCCAGCAGCGTGCAGTTTGGGATTTCGGAAGATTGGACAGGAGCACATTTTTTAGTACAGTGTTCGAACAGAAACACTTATGCAGACAGACGCATTTGCAGGACCATAAATTATGCTTTAAGCTCTGGTCACACCTGGTAGGTCCTGTTCACACACACCTGTTCTGTGATTCTTTCACGTTTCAATTAAGGTGCTAAAAAGCACTCGATTATGTCGAGATACAAGCCTTCGCAACATGAATCCTGCATTTTGAAAAATGCTGATTACGCCGTGTGTTTAAATGTGCTGCCAAGTGGTCTTTTATTAGCACCATGAGATAGATCCTCCGTCGCAACACACATGCCACCTTGTGCGTGTCTGTGAGGCCCAGCGGCTCAGACAAACAGGAGTGTTTAACGTCCTGGGAATGAGAACAGGTTGTTATTTTATGTATAGTTAAAGCTTGAGAGTGTTAGAATTATTAGAAACTTTCCTCTTGAGCTAACCAATGTACCTTTTTTTTAAAAACTATTTTTACTGAAACACTTATGATGTAGATCACCAAGCGAGACTTTAATGTGTAGACAATAACTGGAATTTATGGAGGAGCTGGCTGCAGAACAGATGACCAGAACGAGCATCTGAAATACTTTGGGGATGGACGGATGGATGAGACTTACTGATGAAGAGTATGATACGCTATTCAGTCGCCTGCTGTCGCTCACTGCTGTGAGGGAGGGGTATCGGGATTGGGGAGGGCGGGGGCATGTATATGCTAGTGTCAGCTGTGTAACCTTTGACCCAGAGAAAAATAAAATGATGAATGAACAAAAATTACTGGGTTTCTGTGTCTCTTCCCTGTTGTCATAGGAACGACAAATACCTGGCCCTTCAGTTTCCATGGGAACAGTACAGCTAAGAAGGGAGTTGCCAGGGAAACAGAAGAGTGCGAAAAGGGAGGGGCAGGGATGAACAAAGGGAGTCCAGGCAGGAGTTTTATGCACAGCACATGTTTGGTTTTAATACAAAATTAACAAGATCTCTCAGTTGAGTGAACTAACCAAAGCAATAAAAAGTACAACTAACACCTTGGAAAAATAGACAGCACGGTCACACAAATGTGGTTTTTTTTCTTTTTACAATATCTCAGTTAAGTTAGTGCATGTTGATTATCGTTTATATTTTGCAGATACTTAAATTGTTGTGCCATTTTCATCCCCCCAAAAATAAAGTGCATTTCACATTGAGAACTACGCATACGTTTACACAAGATGCTCTTACCGTTTCCGTGGTGTCGCCCCTATCTCCAAACCCAACCCTAAAACACACACGCAGACACACATACCCACACATTCGCGGACCCTTGAGCAAGGCTGGGCAATTACCTTTCCTAAGGGATCACATGAGTAACTGCGACTGTTGTTGAAGCTTGAACCAATTTGCTGAATTCTGCTCAAATAATATCACTAAGCTGGACCATATCCTCATTTAGATTTGACAGCATTTCTAGTAGATAACGGTATATGGCGTAAGCATGAATTGAGGATATGGTCCGGGAAGGCCACAAAGGGCACTGGCGGTGGCTCCCGAGCCAGGCAGAACCCCATGTACAAATGAGCGACGAATTAATTGAAAAAGAGAGGAGAGGTGGGGCACAGAAATAAGAACAAACAGCTTGTAGTGGGGCGGTGGGATTCATATATAGATGGAGAACTCTGAAATTCAGGTAAATTATCTCCAATTTATCCTTTGACGTTGACATGTCCAGGGTGTACCCTGGCAGCAGGGTGGGGCCCTCCACAACAGTCCCAGTTTCTCAGGTTTCCCCTTGGGAGCATTAATTGCCCATCCCTACCCTTGAGTGTTTTGATATTTAGCTCTAAATTAGGTCTTCTCCTGCTTAACTAAGCGCCCATTACTGGCAACATTACCCACCAAAAATAACCGCTGTTTAGTACACAACCTTAAGTACTATGACACCGTGAAACCTTTGGGTACATTAACAGGTGCGTCTACAGGTAAGTATTACATCCAACATCACAGTCGTTTGCCTTTCTTGGATACAAAGCCCTTTTTCACATGTTCAACAATGAAAATCTCAACAATACTGTTGGTTGCACACAAGAGATTCACATTCGCCAATGAGAGAAAGTCACGTACCACCAAAACATCTCCCATACGCTTAGCCAAGCCTTCCTAATCATCCTGTAACCAGCCTTGACAAACTGGTGCATATTGAAGCGAGGAAAGTAAAGTCTTAACTGAACAAAGAGTCCACGTTAACAGCCAAAGTGGAGAAATGTCACTGAAAATATGGTGCAACCTTAACTCATCCTGTAGTTTGACTGGCTTTGGTAGCACCATGCACGGTGGGTATAAAGTCCCTCTTCTTCGGCATGCCTTATTTACAGAAACACACGAGTCGAGAGAGTCGGTTAAACAAGTTGATAAATACTACATTCAGAAAAAGGCTTTACAGCGCGGTTAATATATCAAGACAACATCAGAATCCGAAAGAAGTCAAGCCAGACTGAAGTGGAAAAAAATAGAACTTCTCAATGAATATAACAAAATAGACTTTTCTCCAAAGGTAAAGTAACAAGAGTTTGTGATGGTTTGTGGTGTGCCAGTCTGACCTGTCGGTGCTAATCAAATGACTACAGGGTGCAGTCTGACACTGTGCACAAGTTCACATACAAGGGCTACACTCCAATGCTTGGAAATGCTGTTCTTTAACTTTCCTCACTGATCCCACCTAGTCTGAGGCCAGAAAGATTAATACTGGGAGCCCCACAAATCAGGCTCTCTGAGAGTTGGGTGAAGCAGCAAGAAAGGAAAGAAGAGACATCATCTTTTTATTTGGAAGTAGCCTTTTTTAGCTCATAGGATCATTCAGAGGTCACTTAACGGACACCTGCCTCAACCAGACTAAACTGTTTAACGTAGAGTAAAATATTAGTGATAGAGGAGACAGAAGACACCAGCAGGACTAGGATCCCAGTTCATTTAGAGTCCCTTTCACTTTGGCTTGAAGTGCTGGAGCTCCCTCCGGCCACTGCACCCACCTCCTAGTCCCATCTCCTTCCAAGAAGCTCTACAAACACATAACGAGGCCACTCATTTCAGAATTGACAGGAAGACTTACAGCATATTCCTATAAGGTCAGAGGTCAACAGGACTTGATATGTCTCAGACCTACATTATTCCCCCTCTGACCCACACAAGGAGACAGATTCTGGTCTGCTGAGCTGATGGATCACACGCACACACATGCACACACCCAGAGACCATGCAAAACAGTCCCAAATCACACATTTGAGATGACAAAACTCAGGACGGACAGTTCGTATGCTCACAAAAGGCAGAGGCAACAGGAAAAGAAAGTTCACATTTTCACCCCAGTGTGATAAATGATTGAAGACCGATGTAGGGTTGTGGAGAAATGAGGCAGTGGTGTCACTGTGATGAATGAGTAGTTTCATCCTCTTTTTTTCCCTTTCCCTCAGCCATGGGAGTGATTATGTGTCTATCATCCATTTGAAGATGTATCTCTGAAGCATCACTCATAGTTCGCTGAGCCTGTTCTCTGCAACACATCGCCAAGATGGTACTTGACTCTGTAGGAAGAAGTCGCGGTGGGATGCGGATGTTATTGCTGTCTGAGTATTGCTTCGCGTCTAAAAAATAACTACCAATCGCAGGCTGGTTATTGCTGAATAGAAAATAAGGACTTGACGATTTCGAGAAGGTTGCAGACCTGTTTTTAAACCAAAATATTCTGGAGAACTAACTCAGAGCAGCTGAGGAGTGATGTGGAATGATCATTATCAGAGCATCTGAAGCAAAATGCTGAAACAAAAACCTCTCCTGTGACCTTGGTGCAATGATTTTAGCTCTTTCAATGCGAGTTACATTATACATAAACACAATTATTTGGGTCATGGCGACATCAGGAAACCACGGCACATTGCCTGCAGCGACCTGTGTGACTTACCACACTGAACTCGGGAAGAGCAATGAGGGACCTGCATGCAAATTAAACCGGGCCATTACATGCACACCTATTAATGAGGTTGAGGCTCTTTGGGAGGGAAACATGATCAAATAAAATAAATAGTATAATTTTGCTACTCTGGTTCCATTTATTTGACCAGCTGTTTTTCTTTTATATGTTTGAAATGTAAATCTCCCCTCAGGAGGTGGAGGAGGAGAGGTATACAGTCATGTTATTTAATCCAACAGGCCTCTATATGGTTTGATGCCTCCATCCACACTAATAAAAAATGAAAGAGGGGGCTAATGGGGAAAGTCTCTCAAGTGCTTTGTCTTGGCCCTCAGAGATGCGAGCTGAACTAAAATACCTCCAGAAAGGGTGGAAAAAAGGGATGAGAACATGAGAGAGGGGAGAAAAGAAAGAGGGAGCGGCTTGATTTCTTTCCGTTGAGAACGCAGGGCGCAGATCAGAGAGCTCCGGGTCTATTTATAGCTCTCCGCGGCTGTTTAGCTTTCGACGCACGTTCAGAGTGCAGCAGCAGAGCTGCCAGGTTGCTGCTGCTCCAGACGGGCTTTGCTGTGGAAATGCCTGCGTACTGAGCCGCGGTCGGCTCCCTCCCTCCTTCCTTCTCCGCTCATCACAAACTAATGCGCCGTGAGGTTTTTACACAAACACACACGCAGACACACATGCACACACGCAGGCGCAAACTAACAATTCCTCCCTGTTGGTGGAAAATAAGCACATGTCC